TATTTATAAAAACCAATAATTTCAAAAGTACTTCCAGCAAAGAAATGCTCAATGGTTCACCCAAAATGTCAAGCCCGTATCAGTAGGCAGTTTCTCATAAAGTAATTTCTCATGCTGCATTCTGCAGTATCATATGGTCAAATACTCTATTGATTTATGAACATTTTTCATGGGCAAGAAAATGGGATCAAGTTGAATATGTTGTTATTCACTTTGAACACTAAATTGTGCTTGCATCCTAAAAGTTCAAATGAGCTGCAGTAAGAATAAGAATATAAATGTCCGTTTGAACCATATACTAAAAAGTAAAATCCTAAAAATGAAAGAATGATAATACCTTATATTAACTGAGAAACCAAAGATGAGAAGCAATTAACAATTGGTGATGGCATATTTTAATCTTCTGTTAAAGCTCTGAAGCTGTACTAAATTCTAGCCAAATTGAGGTAGAGGTAGACTCTAATGCTACTCCTTTCATGTGTCAGACTTAGGCCTCTCACTTTAACCTGTATGCATTTTTCCTTAATTATATAAACATGATTCAATCTGAAATGTGTTATGGTAGAAAAATTAAAAGGATCAAATGGTTTTTTTTTTTTTACAAAATTCTTAATTCCTAGCTAAAAAAAAGGTACTTATAAAAATGTACATAATAATTCAATGTTCTTCCTGGGAGTCATAAACATATGTTTTTCCTTCAACCATAGGAAAAAAGAAAAGTGGAGAAACTGCAAATATGAACAGTTGTGTAATGAAGACACTGGAACATAACTAGTAGAGTAACAACATTTTGCCTTGTATCTGTCTAGTTTTCCTCTTTGAAGGTTATATATAAGCTGTGATTCATATTAGATTTCCTACTAAAGCAGACTTAAATTCCATTAAACAGAAGTCTATTTCCATTTTAAATCACATACAAGTGCTATGTGATCAGAGGGATGGGAAACACTAGGTAAGGCCTGGTGGGTGGTAACTTCTTCATGACTAGGTAATGGAATCACCTGTTCAACCTCTAGAGCATTTAAGTCAATGAAAATGTAATCCAGACATCCATGAAAGCCACCAACATAATTTGTGTAAGCAGGTTCACCACAAGCACTTTTCAGTTTGAAGAAATGGGTAAGGGACATGTTGCACCGTTCCTCTTCCCCATTGGAAGCCCAGTCTTCATGATCCTCTGGGATGTTGCCATTGACAACAAAATGATACATTCCTGTTGATGGGGTACTATTAAAGTCTCCACAAAATATAACCGGTATGCCAGCATACAGGTCACATGAGACATGTCTAATGTGAGCCAAGGCTACTGCCATTTGAATGAGACGAATGTACCCACCTGTGAATATAAAAAACATTAATGTAAGTACTTTTTTTTTTTTTTTTAGATTTTATTTATTTATTTGACACACAGAGAGACAGCTAGAGAAGGAACACAAGCAGGGGGAGTGGGCAAAGGAGAAGCAGGCTCGCCACTGAGCAGGGAGCCCAATGCGGGGCTCGATCCCAGGACCCTGGGATCATGACCTGAGCCGAAGGCGGACGCTTAACGACTGAGCCACCCAGGTGCCCCTAATGTAAGTACTCTTAAAAGTTGCCTTTAAGAAGAAAAAAAAAAGCCCACAAACTACATACAGTATCTGGGTGACATTCAAAATATATATTTGGAGGAGGGGAACTGGATGAAGGTGGCCCAAAGGTAAAAAGAAACATTTCAGTTATGAGATACATAAGTATTCTATAGAAACATAATGACTACAGTTAACAATGATATATGGTATATTTAAAAGTTGCTAAGAGTAGATCCTAAAAGTTCTCATCACAAGGAAAAACATTTTTTCGGATCTGAGGTGAGGGATGTTAACTAAACTTATTATGGCAATCATTTTGCAATATATGTAAGTCATTGTGCTGTACACTTTAAACCTCATGTGGTTATGAAATTATCTCAATAAAACTGAAAGAAATAAAAAAGATGTGTGTAAAACAGCCTTACTGACCTTAAGTTATCACGTTTACATCACTTGTGAAAACCACTAAAACCCACCTTTTGGATGCCAGTAGAGATGGGTATTAGCAACACATATCCTTTTAGAAGAGTCCTTTGTAGACTGAAGAACAGAAACCTAAAATAAACAAAGGGCCAAGAGTTCAGTTGCTGTCAATCTCCTGAATAATTTTTTTTTTAAATTCAAGACTATTTGATGAACTGACATTTCATAACCTTCCCTGTCTGAAAAGTATAATTGCAATTATGAAATTTAACTTTTGCTACAAGTTTCAGAATACACATGAACAGGATTCAGCATAACATGTTTTAACAACTGTCCAACATACAGGAAGTTAAGAAAAGGATATTATTTTAGAGAACAACATTAAGGTTGGTGTTTTTAAGTGGGTAAAGGCAGGCTTTGGAGTCAGTCCCACCTAGATGGAATATCCACTCTTAACCATTTTATAGCAGTGTGACCTGGAGAGAGACACTTCCTAAGTCAGCTTGGTCACTGGTTAAAGACACTATCATCAACCTCAAGGAGGACTGTTGTATGGATTCAACCAAATGAGCTTACACAGAGGTGCATGAAACACACTGGGTGCTTAAAAAAAAAAAAAAAAAAAAGGTAGCACTCCAAAATCTTACTATGAACAAAATCAGTTACCTAAAAACTCTGGACAAATGTACAAATAACATATTTTTAAAAACTACAGCAGCTTAACACCCTGCTCAGTGATGATGTAATATATAAGTAATTGGGCAAGAATCCTGGCTCCACACTTGTGTGAAATTGGATAAGTAAACTTGACCATTTCCCCGTATGTAAAATGGGAAGAATAACATCTGTGAAAATAGCAGGATTACTATGACCAAAATTAAAATATTAATATTTGTGGAATACTTCATTAAACATGCCAGACACAATTATTAAGTGTTTTCTGTTTTGAGTTTTTATTCAAATTCCAGTTAGTTAACATACACTGTAATATTAATTTCATGGATAGAATTCAGTGATTAAATTTTAAGTGTCAGAACAGTGCTTGGCAAGTAGTAAGAAAATATTAATTACTATATTCTTGTATTCAGCATGTGTCTTTCCCATGAGATTGTAAGCACTATGAAAGTCCGTTTGTCTTGTTCAAACGTGCCTGGCACACTAAAGGTGCTCAATAAGTATTTGCTCAATGAATGAATGAAAGCTAACCTTTGTGCTGAAGATACAAGAGCAAACTCCCTTCAGTAAAATCTGAAAAAATCTTCCAGGGCCCTAAAAATCGACGAGTATGTAAAGAGAATAATGGCAGAGGTACTTTACCTGGAGGACAGAAGATCTTTGGAGCACCCTCTCCTGCGCAGACGGGTACAAAACTAGTTTCTCCAGCAGTTCTTTGTGAAGTGGGTCGGACTCCAGGGCTTCGTGGAAAGAAATGTCATGCTGGCTAAGGAGAGTGAATTTGGCCTTTCGGTAGAAAGTAGCCAGGCCTTCGTGCTGCTTGATTCTAAACACGCCCTCCAGCCCAAAGGCCTCGAGGGCTGGCACCAGGCTGTCTGTAAACACGCTGCGATCAACCTCTTGCAAACAGATGAGGTCAGCGTTGTAGCCCGTGAGCTCCTTCTGGATAAGGTTCTGGCGGTAGTCGAGTTCCAGGGCATAAGGGGCACAGTACGGGTACAGGACGCTCCTCGAAAACTCAGTCTGGGCGTACGTGTCGGCCAGGAGGTTGTAAGAGACCGTGCGGACGAGAGAGTCGTCCGTCACCTTCTTGGTGTAGAGATGCCGGTGGTCAAAGGTGCAGGTGCCAGGCCCAGCCTCCACGGGACACACACTTTCCAACTCCCGGCTGGGCCCGAAGCGCTGCCCATTGCCTGGGGTGCAATGAAGCTTGAGTCGGAGCCCGATGTCGGCATTAGACGGCGTGTAGACGCGCTCATTCACACCCGTCTCTGTCCAACTGGGAGAGGGTGAAGAGGGAGACAATGACGAGGGGCCCCCGCCCTCTGGCTCTGCCGCTCCGGGTTTGGCTTCCTTGTACCAACGGAAGACGGAGCTGGCGGGATCCCCAAATTCGAGGCTGAGCTTGGGGCATACCGGGAAACCGGCCATGATGTAGCGTGGCAACTGAAGCTCGGTGAAGGCGGGCGGGTTGCGCTCCACCTTGTACTTGACATCGCCGATCTGCAGCACCGCGCCGTCCTGCCAGGCGTCCACGTTGAGCACGTCTTCAGCCACTGCCTCCTCCCGGTAGTACAGCTTCACCACGGGCTCGCAGGCCGCAGCCGGCTCGGGCCCAGGCCCCGCACAGGCCACGTCGCCACTTGCATTTGGCCGGTTCTTCCTGCTCTTTTTGGCGGCGGCCGCCTTAGCGTGACCTTTGAGGGCATTGGTTGCTATCCGGCTGAGGGCCCGACCCAGCGGCTCGCTTTGGTCGCGCTGCATGTTCTTGTGACTGCCGTCGGCCAGCGCAAACGACAGGCTTAGCTTAGGCTCCGAGGGCACACAGCGCACTACAGCGCGCTCCATGGCGCCCGCTGTCTCAGTCGCCGCCTCGGCCCGAGTGTGCCGCTCCACCGCCGTGCGGACCCCACGAAGCGCGGCGCGGGAACCTGGGAGCCTCCACATGAACCTGGTGGCCCAGCGGCCGCCAAGCCTCAGAGGAAGATTGAGGAGCTGCCGCAGCCGGCTCCGGGATCCATTCAGTCCCGTAGCTTCCGGCCGGAGGGAGAGGGCACGAGGTACTTCCGCTCCGCACTTTCGCCAGGCCGGCTTAAATGCTCCCCTTTTCCGTAGCCAGGCATATCAATAATCCCTCCCAACTTAATCTTTATCGTCAAATCGAGCCATAAAGAGGGGAAAATAAAGAAACTATTGAGGTGCCTGAGGGAAATATTGGACTCCATGTTTTTTTTTAAATTTTATTTTATTATGTTATGTTAATCACCATGTTTTTATCGAAAGTGCAGTTATAGGGCTGAAGGAAACGTGCGCCAAGTCGGAAGTCATTGGGGCGTTGTCATGGGTTCCGCTTCCCTCACGGAAGCGGGCGCTTTTTCTGGATTCTAGCCTTCTGCCTTGTCTTCCAGCTCCGTGGGGCTAAGCAGTGCGAGGGCGTGGAGAACTCCACCAGGATTGCCAGCCTGGCTCCAGCCGTGGAAAGCGTTGCCCAGTTCTCCTCCACCGCATTCTCATTGCTGCTTGCTCTTTCCGAGGTGTGGGCGGGTTCGTTTCAGGCCGGGCTAGCGCAGACGCACGGAACTGTCTTTGTGGTAGTTAGTAACAATTAACTTTATACAAGAATTACCATTTAGGGAGCGAAGACTGTGCTAAAACGTCATTGATCGTTACGAGGTCCAGAGTGATTAAGTTACCTGCTCAAGGTCACAAAGACATTGCTGAATGAATGGCAGGAGACAGAATAGCCAGTAAGAGAAAATGAGAAGTGTAGCCTTCAATGAAAACCAATTGAAGGAAGTATTTCAAGAATGATTTTGTGTTCAATATAATTAATATTCGGTGATTAACTGAAAAAAACCTTGAAAATTTTGAAAGAACAAATTGAGAAGTCACTTCTGTCCACAAATGATCTAATTAGTATCCATTTTTCCTTATGCTACAACTAGAATGCATACTTAACTGGGCATTTAATAATAAGCCACACCTTACCCCCCTGGCTTACCATGAAGAAAATAGGCTTTTGACTGTGTTCTAAAAGCAGGATGGGTTTTGCAATTATTTGAAATTTCAATTCCTGTCCTGCCCTCCTCCCACCCACCAAATATTTGATAAGGTGACCGGGTACTGATAGTGTATATGTACTTCGAGGCTACAGTATAGGTATAAAAGTCATTATTTTGTATCAACTGACTAACTTAAGGAAGAAAGCAAGTAAGTCTTGGTAGTCTCGTTGATAGTACCCCATTTAACAAATCAGAGTTTTGAAACGGCATTTTTCTTATCCACAGCACTTTCCTTCATGCAACTTTGCAGAACTCAGTCTTAAATCAGCCTATATAAAGAAAGATAGAAGCCCTACCGGAAAATGTGCGTTTCCTTTAAGCAAACTGATGTTATTTAACAATTAGCAGTCTTAATCCTAGTTTTGAGACAGATGCCTTTAAGTGTCATACTTCTCTTAGTTTATATATATATATTTTTTTATTTTTATTTTTTGAAAGAGTAAAACAGACCCATGTGAAAAGTAATCTTTCCACCACTGACTCCTATGCAGACACACCATGTATTATGAATATATACCTTCCTCCTATTTATTTACACAAATAGTAATATAGTATACCCATGGTTCACTACCTTCCTCTTTTTGAAAGAGGACTTCAACTACCTCCATTTTGACCTCAAACTTTCTAATGGATTAAGTTCTTCCTTCCAGCTTATCTCTTTACACAGGCAAAAGACCCTGCAGGCAGTGCATCTTGTGATGGGAACCAAAACTACCCCCTCAAGCAATACGGATTGCCCTGAGGCAGCAAGAACCCCCCGCCGCCCCCCCACCAGAGAATGATCCACCTGGCCTTTTCTGCCCACCTGCATGTATCCACTGACCTTTGTCCTACATTTGCTTTATGTAAACCTAGAATGTTGTCAGCACTTTGGAGACCGTCTTTGAGGCCACTAGTGTTGGCCTCAGTGAAATAAATCCCTTTTTTGTTTCACCATCACTCATCTCTCTGCCTTTGGAGTTTGTCTGCGGTGAGTGGTCAAACCTGGTCTGTTTGGGACTCCCAGAGCCACGGGCTCTTGCACTCCTGTGCAAGATTTCCACTGTCTTTTTGTCAGTTCTTTCAAGAGAAAGTGAATGAAAATGTCACAACTTCCCATAGAAAATTTGATTTGAACTCAACAGATTTGAAAATGATACATAATAAATGGTATGTTTGAAGCTCTATTTTTATGAGGCTAAATTATAGCATAATTATATACAGAAATTATATACATTATATAATTAAAATTTGAAGTCGGAAGACTGAACCAGTCAGTACTACACTTTCCCTGATACCAAAAGGGGAAGCAGCTAATAAAAATAATTTTATTCCTCCATTCTCAGTCCATACCAAGAAACACAAGCTAACTTTCACTAATCAAAGTTTGTGGTTGATGGAGTTTTCTTGTTATATATATATATACATATATATATACATATATATACATATATATGTATATATATATATATATCTGCAAAGATAAGCATATGAAGACTAGTTTCTTGTGATTACCCTCACCTTGGTTAATAAAATTGGTAGCCAAAACATAGATTACTAATATACTTTTATCTTTTTTTACTTAAGGTCAACATGATACTGTAGTTTTGAGTGATAGCACTCAGAAATTTTGGGTACTACCTGGTAATATTCAGGGTAATCTGCTACTTCCTTATATATTCAAATTTGATAATTTTCATTTGCTTTTTATTTAAGAGACCAATCTCTTTGTTTCTTTAACATTTAAAAAATTTTTTCTAGTTTTATTGAGATATTATTTACATATAATATTGCATATTATATTACATATAATATTGTAGTAGTCCAATGTGTACAACAATGATTGTATATTGAGATATATATATATATATAATTACCACAAAAGTTTAGTTAACATCCATCATTTCACATAGTTATATTTTTTTCTGTGCTGAGAACTTTTAAGATCTACTCTCTTAGCAACATCAAATACATAATTTGTATGCTTACTATATTCACCATGATGTACATTATATCCCCAGAACTTCATCTTATAACTGGAAGTTTTTACCTTTTTTTAATTTTATTTTTATTTATTTTTTATTTTTAGAGATTTTATTTATTTATTTGAGAGAGAGAGCACATGAGAGGGGGGAGGGTCAGAGGGAGAAGCAGACTCCCTGCTGAGCAGGGAGCCTGATGCGGGACTCTATCCAGAGACTCCAGGATCATGACCTGAGCCGAAGGCAGTCGCTTAACCAACTGAGCCACCCAGGTGCTCAAGTTTTTACCTTTTTTGACCATCTTCACCCATTCCCTTCATTCCCCTGCCTGCCATCCTCCCCCTGCTTCTGGCAACCACCAATCTCTTCAGTTTTTTTTTAAATTCTGCATATAAAGTGAGATCATACAGTATTTGTCTTTGTATGACTTACTTCATTTAGCATAATGCCCTCAATGTCTATACATGTTGTCACAGATAGCAGGATTTCCTTTCTTATGGCTGAATAATATTCCAATATCTGTATCTCTGTCTATATCACATTTTGCTTACTCATTTATCCTTCAGTGGACATTTACACTTGGGTTATTTCCATGTCTTGGCCATTGTAAATAATGCTACAGCAAATATGGGGGTGCAGATAGTGATTCTGTTTCCTTTAGATACATACTCAGAAGTGGAATCGCTGGATCATATGGTAGTTCTATTTCTAATTTTTTGAGGAATCTCAATACTGTTTTCTGTAGTAGCTGTACCAGTTTACATTCCCAACAACAGTGCTGTTTCTTTTATTTTAAAATTTATTAGGATTTATAATGGTTATATTATTATATATACTTATATAGCATAGTATAAATAATATATGATATAGTTATATCATTTAATATAAGGTGTAATTAATGTGAATTTAATAGCAATCAAAAATTAGTTAGAAGAAATTCAAATCAAAGAACCTATGTAAAACCTACCACAATTTAACTCCATAAAGAACTCTTATGCATATGGACTCATTTCTTTTCCCTGCCCTCCCGTTTTTAATTTTGAAACAAACACTGCATAATATAAAGCATAGTAAGTTAGTCTCATAAGTTCTCTTAGCATCTTCCACATTTAATAAGTAGAAGAAACTTTTTATATAGTATTAAAGAATTACATTTTGGTGTTATATCCATAAGTGCTTTTAAATAATCAAGGCCTTGTGAAATAAATTCTGCTCTCATAGATAATATTTCTAACCTTTAGACTAAGAAATAGAGCTTTTAAGGGGGGGGATTTTAAGCTGCAAATTATATGTTTAAATAGCTGTTTTTCTTTCAAAGCAAAAGATTTATAAAAATCCTAGCTGGCACTTGTGTAGAAATTGACAAATTGATCCTAAAATTTGTATGGAAATGCAAAGGACCTAAAAGAGTCCAAATCACTACTTTTCTATAAAAGAACAAAGTTGGGGGGGGCACCTGGGTGTCTCAGTCAGTTAAGCGTCTGCCTTTGGCTCAGACCATGATCCCAGGGTGCTGGGATCGAGTCCCCACATCAGGCTCCTTGCTCAGCAGGGAACCTGCTTCTCCCTCTGCCTGCCACTTCCCCTGCTTGTACTCTCTCTCTGACAAATAAATAAAATCTTAAAAAAATAAAAAGTCTCTTATGGCTTGAAAAAAAAAGAACAAAGTTGGAGGACTGACACTACCCAATTTTAAAACTGTAACCATTCTTACTAAAGCTGCAGTAATCAAGACTGTGTGGTATTGGTATAAAAATAAACATATAGATCAATGGAACAGGATTGAGTGTCCAGAAATAAATGCTTACATTATGGTCAATTGATTTTCAACAAAGATCCCAAGGCAATTCAGTAGGGAAAGGACAACTTTTTTAAGACGCGATACTGGAACAATTATATATGTATATACAAAAAATAAAAATGAACTTGAATCTGTACCTCTCACCAAATATAGAAATTTACTGTAAATAGACCATAGATCTAAATGTAAATCAGAAACTAGAAGAAAACATAGGAGAAAATCTTCATGACCTTATCTGTCTTTCATAGATAATAGCCTCAAAAGCATGAGCCATAAAAAAGTATCCTGGGGCACCTGGGTGGCTCAGTTGGTTAAGCGACTGCCTTCGGCTCAGGTCATGATCCTGGAGTCCTGGGATCGAGTCCCGCATCAGGCTCCCTGCTCAGCGGGGAGTCTGCTTCTCCCTCTGACCCTCCCCCGTCTCATGTGCTCTCTCTCTCTCATTCTCTCTCTCAGACAAATAAATAAAATCTTAAAAAAAAAAAAGTATCCTAAGTTTGATTTTATAAAATTTGAAGGGCGCCTGGGTGGCTCAGTTGTTGAGCGTCTGCCTTCGGCTCAGGTCATGATCTCAGGGTCCTGGGATCGAGCCCCGCATCGAGCTCCCTGCTCTGCGGGAAGCCTGCTTCTCCCTCTCCCGCTCCCCCTGCTTGTGTTCCTTCCCTCGCTGTCTCTCTCTCTGTCAAATAAATAAATAAAATCTTTAAAAAAATAAAAAATAAAATAAAATTTGAAGACTTTTGGGGGCACCTGGGTGGCTTAGTCGATTAAGCGACCGACTGACTCTTGATTTCAGCTTAGGTCATGATCTCAGGTCCTGAGATTGAGCCCCACATTGGGCCTCCTTGCTCAGCATGGAGTCTGCTGGAGATTTTCTCTCTCCCTCTCTCTCTCTCTCTGCCCCTCCCTCCACTTCCCCCACCCAAATAAATAAATAAATATTTTTAAAAATGAAGACTTTTGCTCTTCGAAAGGCACCATTAAGAAAATGAAAATATAAGCTGTATACCAAGAGAACGTGTTTGCAAATTATCTGAAAGGACTCGTATCCAGAATATAAAGAACTCTTACAACTGATAAAAAGTTAAATAATCCAATTTAAAAATGGATGAAAGATTTGAATAAACATTTCATCAAAAAAAGATATGTTAGTGGATAATGAGCACATGAAAATGATGAAGGATAGGTGGAAGGCAGGCAGGGACAAGCCCCCTCCCCCCGCCCAAGGGGAAATCACTCTTAAAAGGATTTTACACCACCCTGAAAGGAGCCCTCCACCCTTTCCTATGTGATAGATAGGTGACAAAAACCTGATTGGATGACAGGATCAGGGAGGATTAATCAGATTAAATCAGCCAGCTAACAAGCCCATTAAATATCCCTAAACTTAGAAACTCCTGTGGCAACCCTCTATGGTTCCTTCTCTCTTTGGGAGCTTTGTACTGTCACTCGATAACCTTTGCTTTACTATCACTCAATAAACCTTGCTTTGCTGCCCATCACTCTATCTGGTCTACCTCTTCATTCTTCAAAGTGGTGTGACCAAGAACTGTGGGCATCAGCAGAGAAAAAAAACCCTGTAACAAAAGGTTTCAACATCATTAGTATTCAGGGAAATGCAAATTAAAAATGCAATGAGATACCACTATATGCACACTAGAATGGCTGTGATAAAAAAGATAGACAATACCAAGTGTTGACAAGGACATGGAGAAATTGGAACCCTTATACATTGCTGGTAGGAATATAAAATCTTTCAGTCACTTTGGGAAACAGTTTGACAGTTTCTTAAAAAGTTAAACATAGACTTACCATTCAACCCAGTAATTCTACTCTAGGTTTCTACTGATGAGAAATGAATATGTATGTTCATCCTAACATCTGCACATGAATGTTCATGTCAGGGTTGTTCATAATAGCCCCAAACTGGAAGCAATCCAAATGTCCATCAACTTGTGAATGGATAAACCAAATGTGATATATTTATATAATGGAAGACTATTCAGCAATAAAAATGAACTTCTGCTACATACTACACATGAGTGAATCTTAAACATGTTTTCATTAAGCGGAAGAAGCCAAACACAAAAGACTACATAATTCTTTATTCCATTTATATGTAATTTTCAGAAATTGCAAACCTATAGAGGCCAAAAGCCAATC